TCTTTTTTGCTTTGTAGACACCTAATTTCTGATTTGTACCTATAAGATACCAAATCCACCAATTAAAACAGAAATTTACATTAATCCAAAAAAATAATCCACGTAAATGTAAACGTAGAGTGTTATTTGTGCACTCCACTGTATCTTTTGAATCTAGTGTTTTTGCTGTTGTTTGTTGATGCGTATTAAAGTCCGAGTTTGTAGTTCGTGTTTTTGAGAACGTCATTGCGAATGCACTTTTGCGCATGTTTTTTTACATGTACGTTTGTGCATGTCCATTTGAGCGAGTGTGTTTGTGCATGTTGTTGATTTGTATGAATGTCCTAGGATTGTAGTTTGTGTTTTCATGATCCTTTTGCGAATGCACTTTTGCGTGAGTACTTTTGTGCATACTTTTGTACTTTTACTTATGTGCGTATCTTTTCTACCGAGTGTTTTTGTGCACATTTCTTGATGCGCATTCATGTCCTCGAACTATAGTACATATTTTCATGATCGCTTTTGTAATCCAATTTTGACCATGTTCGAGTCCGAATTTGGAAATTTGCCGTTAGACTGGAAATGTAGCCAGCTGAAAGAGCATTCTAATGCAGCCGAAACTAGACTATTTGGAGTCCGGATGAGAAAATTATGCTCGACTTCGTGGACACTACCAAAGATGTTGAGGGATTATCTCTTCTAATTTGATTTTATTTTCTTAATTGCATCTCTTTTCTTACTCTTTGATCATTTTTGCTTCCTGGACACATTATTTTCGATTTGTACCTATAAGATACCAAATCCACCAATTAAAACAAAAATATAAATTAATCCAACAAAAAATCCACGTAAACGTAAATGTAGAGTGTTATTTCTACACTCCACTGTATCTTTTTAATCTAGTGTTATTGTTGTAGTTTGTTGATGTGTATTAAATTCCTAGTATTGTAGTTCGTGTTTTTAAGAACGTTGTTGCGAATGCACTTTTGCGCAAGTTTTTTTACATGTACGCTTGTGCATGACCATTTGAGCGAGTGTGTTTCTGCATGTTTGTTGATTTGTATTAATGTCCTAGGATTGTAGTTTGTGTTTTCATGATCCTTTTTGCGAATGCACTTTTGCGTGAGTACCTTTGTGCATGCTTTTGTACTTTTACTTATGTACGTAACTTTTCTAGCGAGGGTTTTTGTGCACGTTTCTTGATGCGCATTCATGTCCTCAAACTGTAGTACGTATTTTCATGATCGCTTTTGGAATCCAATTTTGACCATGTTCGAGTCCGAATTTGGAAATTTGCAATTAGATAGGAATTGTAGGCAGCTGAAATAGCTTTCTAATTCCGCTGGAACCTAAGTAGTTGGAGTCCAGATGAGAAAGTTATGCTCGACTTCGTGGACACTCGCAAAGATGTTGAGGGATTCTCTCTTCTAATTTGATTTTATTTTCCTAATTGCAACTCTTTTCTTACTCTTTGATCATGTTTGCTTCCTGGAATTCTAATTTCCGATTTTTACCTATAAGATACCAAATCCACCAATTAAAACAGAAATATAAATTAATCCAAAAACAATTCCACGTAAACGTAAATGTAGAGTGTTATTTCTATACTCCACAGTATCTTTTAAACTAGTGTTTTTGCTGTTGTTTGTTGATGCGTATTAAAGTCCTAGTTTGTAGTTCGTGTATTTAAGAACGTTGTTGAGAAGGCACTTCTACGCATGTTTTTTTACA